CTATCGGGTTTTGCACTACATTAGGAATTTTGGAAAAATAAAACCACCATTATATTCCTTGTTCAATTCTACCCCAAATCCATATAAAGTTTGTTAAAAAATGTTAAGCAGTTAGGGAGATACGGTACAAAACGTAAATGCATTCGGTTATGTGTTTTTGCCTAGCTAGGAACCAACTTACCCTTATAATTAATTAGGGGTGGCTTCATCAATGGATGTATCGCCACCCCAGTGGTATGACCATGCGCCTTTCATGCCTAGTACCTGAGTTTGACCCCTGAGGAGGGCAACTCTTTTGTACAATTTTGTGATTTTTTTTGCCAAACTTCAAAAATTCGTATCTCACTCATTTTTCATCGTTTTTCGTCCGTTCTTTTTTCATTGTGTTTATATTTATGTGTACTTTAATGTCATGTTTTTATTTTTTATGATTGCATATTTTATCATCAAGTTTGTTTATGTGCAAGTTGTGCGTGTTTTCACGATCGTTTACGTAGTTGCAGATGAATGTTTATGTAGTTCTTCATGATATTTTTTTTGCCTTTCCTTTGAATCCATGCCCATACATTTTAGTTAACATGCTAGGATTTATTTCTCGGTGGTTACCATTTTCATCTGTTAATTTTCATTAAGTACGAACTGTTGTCACAGTATCAATTATTTCATCTGTTAAACTGTTATCATCATGTTTTCTCATTATTTACTTGGTTGTCACCATGAATATGCTTTACCTTGATTGTCATCTTGTTTATCATTTATTTTCTTTTCCCCCCAAGTGATGAGGCTCGTTAACTTTCATCCGGTTATTTCCCCAGTTCCCCTCCAAAGGAATGTCTGTCCACTTGCCCTTCAATGTCATGGACAATTCAATCACACTCTTTTGGCTTTGTTAAGTCATTTTCACCCTAGCTTAGAAACCATTAGACTTCGCTTTAAGTCTAAAAGACCCACCCATACTAGGAGCGTTCTTCAACTAGAACCCTAGGGTAGAGTTCGTCAACTCTACGTAAGGATCATCGTCATGATCTCTTACTCCCCCTTGAGTGCATAACATAGATCTAGAGAGTTTTGTTAAACTCTATACAAAAATTGTAATGTTTGTTTCCCCGTGAACCTTGATCATAATCAAGTGTTCTTCATCCCTTGTGAGGTGAACTACGATTGCTCTGATTCTATCCTAGTAAGGATACGTAGGCAGAGGACGCGATGTCTTTGCGAGCAAACTTAGAAACTATCTTTAGGTTTTAACCTTCACCCTTTACCCAACCCAAACTTAGCAAACATTTACCAACTTATTATGCAAATAAACAAAAGGTTCCTGTAGAGTACTACAGATGTTTAGGATGTGAAATACCTACCCTATGCATAGCCAACCCCCGATCCCCGAATCTCTTAGCGTTGTTGTTACATCGCAAAAATGGTTCTTTCTTTCTTTAGACCTTTCCTTTGGATAAATTAAAGTCCGGTTGTAATCTAAGAATTAAAGATTCAAGTTAATTCAATAGCTTGGTATCACGATTCTCACCGCAACAGCTAGTAGCCAATTTAAGAAAGCTGAAAAACATTATCACACCACCTACAAGGAAGCTCTTGCCATAAAAATGGGAATTCAAAAATTTGACTTCCACCTACGAGGCTACCAGTTTGAAGTCCAGATGGCCAATCCCTCTTTTCCTAAGATCCTTGAATTCAAAAATAAGATGTCACCAGATCCTCAAACCCTTCACCTCAAAGATTGGTTTTCCATATATGATTTCTCTATAAAACACATCAAATGGGCTCGAAATGTGATCCCTGATCTACTATCCCAACCTATAAAACCTATCTAGATCATCACAGCCAAGCACACCTCCCCTCTAATTCTTATGGTCAAGCCACTACCATCCCATGCATCCACAACCAAGAATCTTCCTCCAGGAATAACAATATCCTTTTCACCGTCACAACTCAAGCAGTATGCCAAGAACAATCTTTTTTATTACATGAAAAAAATCATAAGAAATAAGCTCCCGTATCATAATCCTTATTTCGTTGACACACCCTTTCTCTTACCAATTTTAATAAACCCAAATGTTAAATTCACAACAAAAAAAAATGATTTATATTTTATGCTTGTTCTTATTCCCATCAAAGCCATGTATCAACACATAATGGATCCCAAGAAAACATGTCCTTGATTTGGACTAATCTTGAATGGTACTCTCGATTATAATGGTGGAAAAATTAATTAAAACCAGTCCTAGTCGAGGTCAAAGAGCAAAGATTAGCCTTAAAAGCTATTAGCAAACTTGAGATTGTTTTCTTTCTACACATGCTCTATCAAACATATCCTGCAACTAAGATACTTGATTGTAAGAGTTATATTCACCTATGGGAACATATAATTAGAGAAAGAGAAAGTGTTTGAAGAGAGATGTTCCGTTAAATCAGTTTAGTTGATAGTTGTGTAGGAACATCAAACTCTAAAGACGCGATTTCAAATTCGCAACATCTCACTTATTTACTTTTAAAAGGTAAAATTTCAGTCACTAGATTACTTAGTTCAAAAGAGTGTGACTATTTATCTAGAAAATCTAATGAATATAATATTTTGTTTTTAGTTTGTGTTTTTTATACAAAATATTGATGTCCCCATTTTCCAAATTATTAATGACACACCAACATCATATCAGATTTTGTAGGGTTCTTAAGTACTTATCGGCACGTGGATGAGACATAATTCACAAAGGGGCTACACAGGAACTGCAATGAAGCCAAGATATCATCACATGGGCTTCTGTTAATTAGTGATTGCCAAAAGCCCACATCTACCTTTCAAGCCACAAAATATGACTATTGGCAGTGTTTGGTAGAATGCATTTTAGGAAATAATAAATACATGTGTAGTAAAATATATAATTTTGTTGATATTAATTTTTTTTTAATTAAGTGCAATAGATTATCTATTGGATGTGTGATAAAATTAAGATTGAAAATGTGAAGATTTGAGAGAGAGATATTATAACACTTATAATAGAACATTTATGCATAGAGAAAAGATATGCGATCATATAGAGATAGTTAAATCGAAATTCTAAAAAAAGTATAAAAAAAATTTAAAAATAAAGATATAGAGATTAATAATTTGAATATATATATATATATATATATATATATATATATATATATATATATATATATATATATATATATATATATATATATATATATATATATATATATATATATATATATATATATATATATATATATATATATATATATATATATATATATATATATATATATATAACTTTTGTAAAACATTAGACACAATTAATGTATATAATTTGATAAGATCGAGTAAATTTGATTTTTTCATAAATTAATTTTTTTTAAAAAGAAAAACAAATTGAATATAAAATTTTTGTTTGGCATGAGATATTTTAGATAGAAGATGCACTTATTATATAAAATAACTTTACATCGCCTATAATAATACAACACATATTCCACCAAATTAATTTTTTATTAAATTTGACAATAATACACTTATATTTTGAAACAACTTGAATAATTTAGCAAATTAGTAATTTTTTATTAAAGTTGACAATAATATGACACATATTTCACCAAATTATACTGATATTTTGAAACGACTTGAATAATTTAACAAATTAGTAATTTTTAAGACTTGAATAATTTAACAAATTAGTAATTTTTTATTAAGTTTGACCATGCATATTCATTAAACTCTTGATATTTACATAATTAGTTAATCTCAAGTAAAATTGATTTATACTTTCTCAAATAGATTATACTTGAAGCTATATATTACTACCTTCTTCGTTCCTTTATATTCCTTTATATAAGAGATTATATAAGAAATAATTCAATTTTTAAGTTCCTTTATATTCCTTTATATAAGAGATTATATAAGAAATAATTTAATTTTTAAATTCACTGAATAATCAATGTGTTTGATCAATTTAGAGGCTAAATACATTGATTATTCAATAAACCTATAAAATGAATTGTCTCTTATAAAAAGTAACGAAAGTACTATATCAGATTCTCATCATAATTTTTGTACTGAAATTTACTATTTAATTTTGCAAAAATTTATTCAAACGGTAAATTATTTTATCTATAACTCCCTATTAATTGGAATCAATTTTCCATAAGCAATTAACTTGAAATCGACTTTATTCGGAAAACCAATAAAAATCAATTTTGATTGGAACACTGTCAAAATTAAATTTATACAGTAAAGAATAGGAGTGACTGTGAGACTATGGCCACATGAATTCCACATGATAGACCTAAAACTCACATGTTTAAAAAAATATGCACATTCATGTCAGTCCTTGAAACATTCTCCATGTTTCATTTTCAACAGGATTTGTATTCATACAGTGACAATACAACAATGTCATAACTCATAACAACCAACACAACACAGCAATTGAAGAAGCAGCTACCAGCCAGAAATGATAAATTACCTCCTTATCCTTATACACATTTCTTATTAAATGACATATTAACCTCTTGTATTTGTTAGTTTTTCAGGAAATAGATATCAAACAAACCATCTACCTAAATAAAGATCAGTCAGCATCACAGCATTCTAATTATTCCAGTTTTCTGAGATGCTGACAAATCTTCAACCGGTCAGCATCTCAGAGTACTGGTTATTCCGAGTTTTCTGACAAATCTTCAACCAAAGTAGCAATGAAGCATTTCAAAGAAAAGAAATGAAGTTCTCTTAACTTAATGAATTGGTTGGTAATAATATTAATAGTACAAAACATGGTTGGTAACAGCTGAAGAGAATGAAAAATTCCCTTCAGAATCCAATAGGGTCTTTTTGTTAACTGAAAATAGATATACTAACAAACAAGCATAAGCATAATCAGATACATTTTTAGACATATAATCACTTATGAGATGTCAGAATTCCACATTTGACCTTTGAAGCTTTAGCAAAATAACATCCATACCAAAAATAATTGATGTGTGTATTAAGCAGCACATCCTCCACAAACAATACCTCTGTCACATGATAAAGAAAGATACATGTTAACAACATAAATTCAAATGTAACACGTGTTTGATTCTTTTCGATGCGGTTTGGTTTTTTGTTTTTCTAATAGTTCTAATATTTGTCTGAGTTTTTGTTTTTTTTATTTATAAAAACAGACCTAATATCAGTTCATAATAGCAATTAACTGTTCTGTTCACAAAGAATCAGGTAGGTTTGAAAATGAACAATAGAGAATTTTGTAAAGGTAGTTATGATTCGTTCGTAAGAAGGTAATCGGTGCACCAAACCACCATTAGTCCGGCTTGATTCGATGCAAACCGTTAACAATTTGGTTCTGTTTTTACTGAACTTGCAAAGGCCAATGATTTGATAGTAACATTCTAAGCCAAGAGGTACTTACACAAATGAGCAACCGGATCTTCTTTGCCTTTTCTTCCTCGGCATTTCTTTCCTCCTTGGAGGTTGAAGAACAACCTTAATCGCAGTATCAAAAACTGCTTTCACATTCTAAATCACAAAAACACATAAATTAGGTTCTATCTATCATATTCTGCAAAGAAAAACCAACATACATCATAAAAGGCATGACATTATTCGATTTTTAAGACAAATTTAAACCGATTACCTGTTGTGTCTTCGAGCTGCACTCAATGTACGCTGCAGCGCCAATTTGTTTTCTTAGTTCTTCTCCCTATAAACATTAACATCATTTAATAAAAGCGCTTAAGATATAATACAAGTTTTCAATCCAGCGGCGAGTTTCATAAAACTTGTACTCGCCTATTCGGTAAAACAATAGAGAAAAAACAAACAGAAAGAATCCAAACCTCAGCAGATGATATAACATTGGATCCCATGTGAGCAGCTAAATATCCCCGATCTTCGCGAAGATCTAAAACCAATAGTTCAATACTTTATGTCATTAGTTTCTTCTTCTCCTATTCATTTAAAGAACCAAAACAAAATTTTGTATGTGCATTAACTTACCTAACTTTGTACCAACAAGAACAATAGGAACATTTGGGGCAAATCTTCGTAGTTCTGGCATCCACTGAAACAGATCACGATAACCAAGAGTTAAGGTTTAGGGTTTAGGGTTCAGATTTAACCAATCATTCAGTCAAACTCCGAATTACCGAGGTCTCATTCCTCGAAAACCGAAGGGTTAAGATCAAAAGATAACATTTTCATTTCCTCAATTTATCTCCAACATGGCAACAAAATCTAAAGAAAAAGTCTCACTTTTTGAAAACAGGAATAAAAAATAGAAACAAAAGAAAATAAATTAAATTAAAATGAAAAAAGTATATCATAAGGGAAGGTGGAGAAATAGGTATGAACCTTCTTAAGAACATTCTCATAGCTAGCTCTACTAATCAATGAAAATGCTAACACAAATATATCTGCTCCTCTATAGCTCAATGGCCTCAACCTACTATAGTCTTCTTGTCCTTCAAAAATTGAAGAAAAAAAAAAACCAAATATTAAGAGCAATAATAATTAACAACAAAAAAATTTATTTTTTAAATTAATCAATAAATTTTCTTTTTTACTCCAAAAAAAGACATATACATATATACCTGCAGTGTCCCATAGCCCCAAATTCACAATGCTTCCATCCACAGCTACATTAGCACTAAAATTATCAAAAACTGTTGGTACATAATCCTGCAACCAAAAAAACAAAAACAAAAAATATTTAAAAAATTTATAGAAAAGATCAGAAATTATAAAAACTGCAAAAATAAAAAAAAAATGTGAAATTATTGAATGGATGGTAAAAGAAGAAAGTTTACGGTTGGGAATTTGTTGCTGGTGTAGCAAATGAGCATGCAAGTTTTTCCAACAGCACCATCACCAACAGTGACACATTTAATGAACTTGGATGCACTCATAATGAGAAAATGGAAAGTGTAGGGTTAGATTGAAATTGAAGAAGGAAAAGACAGGCTTTTTTGTGTTGTTAATGTAGAAAGAAACAACCTCAAATGTTTGATTATGTTTTTGAGGTTGAAAGAGCGTGAAGAAGAGGGTTTCTGGATTTTGGTGTGTGAGTTTGCATTAAAGAGTGTGAGAGTGTGATAAATAGTAGAGAGAGAGAGAGAGAGGGACTTTTCATGGTTTAAAGAAACTAGAGATGAAAAAACATTGATTAAAAAGTTAGTTAATTTTTTAAAAATTTTATTTTCAACATTCGGTCTACACACTCTTTTACTTAATGAAATTTATGTGAATATGACTATTTTAGGTGGTAACAATTTCCAAAGCAGGACTCACATAAATTAGATTCAGTAAAATAATCAATGTTACAATAATTGTTAAAAAATATTTTTAACACTTTTCATTTATAAATTCATATTTTTTTTTGTTTTTTTTAAGTAAATGTAATTTTTGTTAAATTCAGTTAATAACTATCAATTAAATAAATTAATTTTAATTATCTAATCTATTTTTTTATGTATAAAAATTGTAAAATTGTTTTAAATTATAATTTAATAGTTAATCTAGTGTGATTAATCAAATGTATACACAAGTTAGCACTATCTTTTAATAAATTAAAAAAATTAATTATATTTATAATAATGATAGGAGGAAATATATTACTAGTACATGAAACAACATTTACTATATCATGATAATAATTAAAAATTGTGTATTGATTTTAATAAAAATACAAAATTAATTATTTAATTTTTTTTAATATAATTTTTTTTATAAATGAGTTTTTAACTTGTATTTAAGAAAGACAAGTTAGTATTATCCTTTGTTAAATTATTGAAATATTTAATAGTAATGAACAAATATGAAATCACAAATACTTAAAAAATCAATTTTCATGTAATATTAGTTTATTTATAAACTATCAATCCATCAAAATTATTCTTCGGTATTCAAAATAAAAATTAAATATTTTAAAATATTTAATATCTATGTTTGATTATGTACCATCAAATTATATCAATTAATTTCAATACTTAATTAATTATTATTTATTATTAAATATTGTTTTATCAGTTTTATTTAGTCGTTGAGTAGTACTACAATAGTGGTTGGTCTTGCTATGGAAGATTGAATAAAAAAGAGTATAGTTAGAGAGAGAAAGTGCATTAGTGGATGGTAGTACTTGTAGTCAAAGTGTGAAACACTTTATCGTTCCACTCAATAAATTTCAAATCTAACAGAAATATTTTTTGAAATACTGAAATGGGCCCACTCTCAAACGGCACCTATATCTTAGGCACAGCCACAGTCCAAATCCTTCATTTGTTTTGGTTTCCAACTATCACTAAATTGTCCATTACTTGTTCTCCAATGCACTCCTCTAAATTAATCATATTTAAAGGTTAGCAATGTTTCTTTACAATGATATTTCAATGTTTTTGAGGTGTATCTTTGGCATAACGGTGAATAATATCATCAAATCATTTGAATATTATTAGATTAACTTTATGTAAGGATCAAATCATTTGAATATTATTAGATTAACTTTATGTAAGGATGATTGATGCGAGATGAATAAAATAAGAGAATATATTTTTACTCTGCAAATGACAGCTATAATATTGTAAGAAAGAATTATTTAAAAGTGACATTTACCACTAGTTAATTTATACACAAAAAATTAGGGTAACAAAAACAACATACTAAAATACTAAATTACTCTCTAACAAAACTTGGTCACTAAATTTTGTAAAATATAAATTATTTCTAATAATATCCCTTAATTTATATTTATTCAAAACCGACAACACCAATTTCATCTTTTAAGCGAAGAAATTGATCGGTCTTGATAGCCTTCGTCAGAACATCTGTCACTTGTTTCTGGGTGCTACAGTGCACAACTTCTAGCACTCCATTCTGAACCTGATTTCCCAGAAAGTGATACTTAGTCTCAATATGCTTGCTTCTTCCATACAACACTGGATTTTTGGCAAGATTGATTGCAGACTTGTTATCAATCATCAGCTTCAGAGGCTTGTTAACTTTGATCTTCAGATCCTGCAGTAAGTTCAGAATTCACACAGCTTGACATGTAGTCACAGCGCCTGAGATATATTCAACTTCACAAGTTGACACGCAACAACAGGTTGTTTCTTGGAACACCAAGAAACTTAAACAAGTACCCAAAAGTACTTTTTTGTCAACTTTGTCTCCACACCAATCAGAATTTGAATAACTCAGAAGTTCTGATTCACTCTTTCTTCTAGAATAGAACAACACTCCATACATCAGAGCTCCCTTGATATACCTCAAAATTTTGATAGCAGCTTGGTAATGAGACCACTTAGGTTTACTCATGAACCTACAAACCATTCCAACTACATAGCAGATATCAGGTCTGGTATTACACAGATACCTCAGAGAACCAACCAATTGTTTGAAGGTTGTAGTATCCACATCCTCACCATCAGAATCAGAATTCAGTTTCTGATTTGTATATGCAAGAGTGATAGCAGCCTTAAATTCTGCAGCTTAAATCTCTTCAAGAGCTCAAGTTCATACTTCAGCTGATGCGAAATGATACCCTTCTCAGAGTATATAAACTTCATCCCTAGAAAATATGTCATTTTCTCGAGATCATTCATTTCAAACTCATTCATCAACACCTTCTTGAACTTAGCTATCTCTTGTTCAGAACTCCCTATCAGCCGTATGTCATCAACATACAAACACACCAAAATCATATTGCCTTCAGAAGTATGCTGAATATAAACATTGTATTCCATCTCACATTTCTGAAACCCCTTCTCCATGAAAAATGAATCAATCTTCTGATTCCAGGCTATATGCGCTTGCTACAATCCATACAAAGCTTTATGTAATATGTATAACATTCATTCCTGATTCTTTTTAACAAATCCAGGAGGTTGTGACACATATACCTCTTCTTGTAACGAACCATTCAGAAATGCAGATTTCACATCTAAATGCATCATAGGCCAATTCCTGTTAGCAGCTATTGTAATCACCAGTCTGATTGGTTCATGTCTCGCTACAGGTGCAAAAACTTCAGAACAATCCAGCCCATGTTTATGCAGAAATCCTCTTGCTACTAACCTCGCTTTGTGTTTTCCATTTGATCCATCTGGCTTTAGCTTCTTCTTGAAAACCCATATGACCCTGGTGGCTTTCTTGTCCTTTGGAAGTTCTGTCAGCTTCCAAGTCTTATTCCTCTCTCTGACATCAAGTTCTTCTTTCATGGTTTTCATTCAGACTTTCTGCTCAAGAGCTTCTTCCGTGCTTACAGATTAAGAGTCTACTAACATGGAAAACTAAATAAATTATCCTTCAGAATCTACTTCAGTATCTTGTAGCATGTCAAATTCTGCAAATCTTCTCGGAATGTTTCTGATTCTCTGTGGCCTCTAACCTCATTCAGAATCGCCTTTGGATGCTTGGACTCCAAATGTTATATCTTTAGAAGCTTCTCCTTTGGAAGCTCTTATTTCAAAAGTTTGACCTCCTCCAGAACCTTGACCACCTTCAGAGTCTGAAATATTCCCAGAATCTAAATCACCACCAAAATCTGAATCACCGCTATAATCTAGATTAGAATCATCTTCACCTTCTGAGTCAAAATCACCATCAGAGTCTACTCCAGCTTCAGAATCTTCTCCAATTTTTGACTCATCTCCAGAAACTTCTAATTTTGAACTTTCTTTAGAAGTTCTCACATCATAGTTCAATTGAGACTTGTTTTAATCCCAAGTTTCTAATTCCTTTACAATGACGTCTCTGCTGAATTCAACTTTATTAGTTTCTGGACAATAGAGCTTGTACGCACCTGTATTGTGGTATCTCACTAGTAACATTACTTTGCTTCTATCATCTAGCTTCTGTCTTCTAGCTTCTGGAATATGTTTGTAACATACAGAACCAAATACCTTCAGATGGCTAACACTTTTCTTATATCCAATTCACTTCTGAATAGGAACTATTTCCTTCAACTTCTTCGTTGGACATCTGTTGAGCACATATGCTATGGTGGCAACAACTTCTCCCTATAAGGTATGAGGAAGCTTCTTCTCCTTCAACATGCTTCTCATCATATCAAGCAAAACACAATTTCTTCTATCAGCAAAACCATTGTGTTGAGGAGTATAAGGAGCAGTAACCTCATGCTTAATTCTATTCTTCTCACATAACTTTCTGAACTCAATGGAGTTATACTCACCTCCACCACTGGTTCTGAGAATCTTCAGAGTCTGGCCACTCTGATTCTCAGCCTTCATTCTAAACTTCTTGAATTCAGCAAGCGCCTCATGTTTGAAATTTATAAGGGATACCCATATCATTCTTGTGAATTCATCAACAAATGGCACAAACTATTTATTCCCTCAAATCGATGCTATTGGAAATGGACCACACACATTAGAATGCACTACTCCTAAGGCATGCTTTGCTCTTGGAGCTACTTTTGACGCAAATGACAACCTTGGTTGCTTTCCTTCCAAGGACACTTTGCATGACTTCTCATACTTCTTAATTGTAGGGATTCCAAGTACCAGCTTCTTCGGAATCAGATGCCCTAAGCTTCTGAAATTCAGATGACCAAATCTTTTGTGCCACAACTCACTTTCCTTCATAACACTTATTGCACTAAGACATTCAGAGTCTGCAGTTCTTACATTCACCTTGAATATTCTATTCCTTCCCTGTTCTGACTCCATAATCAACTTCTAATTACAGTCATACAACTTCAGAAGATTTTCCTTCATGGTAACTAAAAAACCTTTCTCAATTAGTTACCCCACACTCATCAGATTGCTTTTCATGCCAGGTACATACCACACTTTCTAAATCAATGTTGTTTTTCCATTATTCAGAATGACTCTGACATTTCCCATACCTTCAGCATTGAGGTATTTATCATCAACACATCTGATCTTTGTCC